GAAAAAAAATGTAATACTGGCACCATCACATATAGCGATAAAAGCAGGATGCACTTGCTGAGGTGCTCTCACACATTTAACTTGGACCCTAACCACTTAAAACCTGGTAAGCTGAGCTAAGAGTTTCTTATTGCAAGAACTATACGGAATAACAAGGCAGCAGTTATTTCTGGAGTTGTATTTGGCGTAACCCTGACAACGAAAATGACTCGATTAAGAAAGTGATGGAATGTATGTAAGGATATAATGAAGCTGAAACACAAGATTAAGCGAAATAGTCAGGAGGAGGTAAAGTGTGCGCCCGAGTACAAGATTTTCGAGTCACGTTCCTCTGAAGAAGGAACATGAAGAAGCAAAAGAATCCTTAATGTTAAATGAAACAAGTAGACGACTCTTGAAGTCCACGTAAGTCAGTTTTCCAAATAACAAGAAAGGAAAGCTAACTTCGTGCGGAGCCGAAGTTGATATACCCTTGCAGAATACTCTGTAAATTATATTCTCCAAAATTATTCATATGATGCATTCTTAATACTCATAAAAAATCCCAACTTCCTAACTTTAAAAACAACAAAGTTATGCATTTTCAATCGTTCAGTTATATGGCAGCTATAGGATATAGTCGGCCTTATGAAATTTGGTGGATCGGATTGATTGGCCAAAAATAAAACCCATAGAAGATCCCAACTTCCTAACTTAACAAACACCAAAGTTATGGCATTTCCGATCAATCAGTTATATGGAGGCTATAGGATATAGTCAGCCAATCCTTATGAAATTTGGTAGGGATTTTTTATAAGGGATTTCTTATAAGGATTAAGAACGTGTCATATGAAAAGTTGTGGAGAATATAATTTACAGAATATTCTGCAAGGGTATATCAACTTCGGCTCCGCCTGAAGTTAGCTTTCCTTTCTTGTTTTCATCTCGTTTAAGTTATTTTACCTTGTCTTGCGACCTTTTTCAAATCAATGCCCTTTCGAATATAAGCTTTGACTTAGAACCAGAAATCTAACCTTTTATTATATTAACAGTTAAACAAACTTAAACTAATTAAATATCCCTAATAATAAAGATTAATAAAAGAAGTTTTGACCTTAAACTAAACTTAACCATGTCTTAATAGATGCCGATTTACTACTTCGGCCAAATTTATTGGATGATTGCCCGTGATCAACTATAGCATTGTCGCTACTTCACTGATACTGCTGCTGCTCCTGATTGACTTTTCGCTGGTGTGTGAGATCGTGTCGGCTCCACCGAGACTTTGCATATTATGCGAACCTCTCTACCGGGTAGAACTAGGTTCTGCATTCTCCCCTTGCATTCCTCGAAGATTTAATAACAGTGTAACGACCTGATTCGATCGTCGTATTGCCAAGAGGGTAGAACTAGGTTCTGCCTTTTCACCCAGACGCCACGCAAGGACTCATTAAGCTCGACTTAATCACGACCTAGCACCGTTAGCGTTAAAGCCTCGTCGTCGTTCGACGTCTCGACTTTACGATCTTGATCCTTGGCCACTTGACTTCGCGGTTTCGCGTGTACGTAATCGCTTTGATTCCCGCACTCGTACTAATGAGGTGAGTGGCGGTTGCGCCGCCCTTTCATAGACTGTGGTCCCAGTATTTCCCTCCTCCAGTTCGGATTTAATTTACGGTGCGACCTCTATGTCAGGGTCCCAAGTACGCCTTTTAGCCTCGTTGACTTTGCCATAAGAGGGTCCAAGGTTGACCTTTTATCTTGGATGCCCTTGTCTTTGCTGTTTGCTAGACCGGTCCCCTGCATCGGAATTTGTGAAGAGTTTTAAAACTACCCACAATTCTAAACATTTAATTTAACCAAATGGGTGGCATGTTTGACATTAAATAACTCAACAATTTAAGCCAAAATGTATAATTATTTTTAAAATTTTTCCTTTGTAAAGCAAAAAGGCGATTCAGCTGATTTAGACACTAGTTAAATCATGTCGTATTGCTTTTTCTAGAGAATCGCATGACAATTTTGAAAATTTTGGAATGGATAATGTCAAAGTCCATTTTAGCTCACAATCGCGATCGGAAGGTTGCAGATATTATGTTCTTTAATTGAGATCGCATATCTCCAATTCCAAAAACTTCACAATGCTGTAATCAAAAAGGAATGTTCAAGGTTTTGGCTAGGATTCTGTGACGAATTAGATATCTGACCCAGAATTGAATATTGCCCACACAGAATGGAATAATATTGTATTTGACTAAAATTTCAGGACCCTCATCTAAAAATGCTTGAATTTCAACAGCCCGTGACATGTTTTGCATAGAAGCGCGTATACATTGCGAAGACGAGGAGCACGCCACGTGGGTGAGATATCAGCAAGCATATTAAGCTGTCAAATATATTCAAAAACAGGGCATCGTTATGAATCACGGAGTCTCCGAAAGTAAGCTATCTTGGCCTACCTGGCCTACACCCGCGCACGCTCTATCGCTTGGAGTGTGACAAGAAATCTCGAAGAAACACCCCAGCCCCGATTTGAGCCCACTAATGTCATATAACTCTATAGCAGATGGAGCCAGCGCAACAGTCTTAAAACTTGCAAAAAATGCAAAGATTTAAAAAATATAACAAAGAACCGTTTAAGGTTTTTGCTATAGACCTATAAAGCTGGACCCAGTGTAAGCTTTGTTAGTGAACTTGTGGCTCATCATAGAAGAGGTTAGATTCGGACCCATGTAAATCGTGCTGAAGAACCACGAACGACAACACAAAGGCGTTTGTCAATAATATTAGCATGGACAAACGCTAGGTACGATTTCACCTGCTAACTATCATAGAAGACGTGTTAAAAGAAATTAATTATGTGGCCCGATCTCCAGAATTTAAATAGTAAAGGCATCAATCCAGCACACGGGATTACACCCCCAAGGAAGCTCCTGCAGAAACTTAAGTGTCTTTCTCTTGCTCTCCGTCGTTGGGCGATGTTGGAACGGCACGCACTTTAACGGCAAAACTCTTTCTGCACCACTCTAAAATGTTCAAACAGGATAAGAACATCAATGCCACTTACCCGCCCAACCGACCGAGGGGCGCAGCCGTGCATCGTACAGATAGACGTGAGATATGGAAATATAGGTAAAAGTCCGGGGAAAAAAGTAATAGTAAGATCAATTTTGTGCCAATGAAGCTAGTATTAATCGTTTTAAGAGCGGCAGAGAGTCAAGATCAAAAAATCTATTATAGTTAGAATACAATGCTCTGAAAGGCTCATGCAAGGCATAGTTAGATCTACAATGATTTAATATTAGGGGAATATAATTTCTAGTTAATCTACTTGGCACAGAAAAGTTTAGCCGACTTACCAAGTCGGGGGAGTCAATATCACGATGTATAAGGTTATAAATAAAGACAGTACCAAGCATCGTTCTACGGTTGGCTAGGAAGGGTAAATTAATCAACAGAAGTCTACTAAAATAATAAGGTAAGTTAAGATTTGCATCCCAATTTAGGCGCCGTAAAGCAAAAAGAAGAACATTTTTTTGTACTGATTCAATACGACCAATAGTATTCTGTATTGCGGACTCCAGACGGGAGACCCATACTCCAGAATCGGACGGACTAGCGAAATAAATAAAGTTTAATTAAATAAGGATCATCGAATTCTTTTGACCACCTTTTAATAAATCCAAGCACTCCTCTGGCTTTATTAACCTTGGACGAAATGTGGTTTGAAAATTTTAGTTTAGGGTCCAAGAGAACACCAAGATCGTTTACAAGAGTTATTCTATCCAAAGAGCTGCCACTTAATGTGTAAGTCGCGTATATCGGATTGTCCCGATAAAAAGTCATCAGCTTGCACTTGGTTGCGTTTAAATTTAGTAAATTATCTCGGCACCAGTTTGAAAATTATCTAAATCGGATTGCAAATCTAAATGGCAGGAAATGTCCTTATACTGCAGGCACAACTTAACATCATCTGAGTACATAAGTACGCGAGAATGACTTATAATTGAGGGAAGATCGTTAATATATAATGTAAAAAGTAACGGACCCAGATGGCTCCCTCGTGGGACACCGGAGGTAACACGGAGAATTTCGGAAATTGAATTTTTAAAAGTTAATTGGTGTTAGGCTCCCGCTCTATCGCACTCCCCCGCTCTCAAAGTCAAAGTTCTTGAGCGTGGTCTGATTAAGCGTGATAATGTCATTCTGTTTACGTCTGTTTACTAGACTGGGCCGCAGAATTTTTTCTGGGAATACATGCGATAAAATTCGACACCCTAAGTTGCTGGTCGGATTAGTAGCCGGATTACCGGCCGATATTGCTATTTTTATGCTAGGAAAGTATAATCATTTAAGAGTTTTATTTTACTGGCCAGGGTGCATATTAGTACGAAGCTAAAAGAAAAAAGAATAGTTCAGGGGAAATCATCACGCATCTTATCACGTGATGTGACGTTATGCTTTTCAAACAAGGTGTTGTGAAAATATTTTGTAAAGTAATGACAATTTGTTTAACCCACAATAGGCCACGTATTTGCTGGGTGGTTATGCGTCGGCTAGAAATAAAAGTAAAAAAACGCCTAACAGGGTTATTCCATGATGAAATTACCAGACCAACACCCTCGAAATTCGCCGACAGGGCATATATTAGTAGGTTATACAGGAAAACATGCACCAAGCTTCGAAAAAGCAAAGTAAACACTATAACTTCTGGTAGACAGCTATAAACCTATAATAATCGCAGAAAAGCTGTAAAAAGGAACTGTGTCTAAAAAGGGTACTTTTTTACAGGATACGATAGCAGCTTTCCTTTCGACAATAATAACTATTAAGGAATTATAAAAAAATAAAACAAAAAAATTTAGTCTTATATTTTTGTTATTTTATTCCAAATGTCCTACAAAATACCTATGTGTAAAATATTTTTTATTTGTATTTTTTATTCACAATTTTTGTTTTTTCTCTTTTTTGTCCCATAGTCTAGGCTGGGCATAATTTTTTTATACTAAATAATGGCTTACCATTTAGACGCCTGGATGGGGAAACCCTGCTGCGAGGGACGTCATCTTGTGGTGCAGAATACGAGCTCCTCGAATCGTGCATATTACTTTGAAAAAATATATACATATATTTGAATTTACTTTTTGGTAAGCTTTTTACTCATACATACTTACAGGAATGTTGCAAAGACTTTATTTTATTATATTTAGGTCACCATTAGATATAGAAAACTATATTTTTGATAAAAATAAAGAATAACATTATAAATCATATATATTTTTAAAAAAAATTAATTAAAATAAAATAAAGACGGAATAATTAATACCTAATAATGGTTTACAGTTAAAGTGGGCTTGACTAAGTTGGCGCGGCAATTTATCACTATAATCTGTACGTTCAATCGCAAACTACTAGCTCTTTTAGTTTACGGATAGACAAAGGTACATCGACTCGGCTATTGATCATAATTAATAATATATGCATAAAAATTCTGTTTTTCGCTTCGGGATATATTAAAAAAATCGATTTTTATTTTAATATAAAACGGAGTTTAATTGGTTAAGTTCTTTATAGTTAGATTCTCAATGATAAACTGACTTTACGAAATGCATTCTGTTCTTATATCTATGAAAGCGAAAGTGGACTTTATTTAGAAAATTTTTTAGTTCAAAACTGCATCTTTTGTTTAATTAATTTGGATTAGTCAAAGCTGACGAATGGGTTCTCAGACTGGACCTTTTGTTTAAAAGTTTGAATATTGTTTATGTCTGCCGTCGTCGAGAGTCGTGTGAAATGTTTATAATTAGGGTGCCGACGATCGATGGCTTGGGAAAGATTTATGTCTAAGGGGTTAAAATGTTTATGTCGGATTGATTTAAATAAATACGATAGTAGGCTCTGAACTTATGTTATTGACAGTTGGAATAATTGGTATCCCGGGATGTACAGGTTGTGTGTTGGGTTTGGTGTCCAGGGTATTTGCATACCAAAGGTGTCATGACCATTGCACTTTTTGCATGGTCAGTATTTTCGGAAACGGAAAAGTTCTTCTACACCCTAATCTCCATAGCATAAGTACTCTGAACAGGAGTTACAAGGTACGGTCTCCGCTCTTTCTCCTCTGCATACAACGAGGCAAGGCAACTTGTCATCAGTAAGGGAAACTGGCAAGCAACGTGTTTTTCCCTCTCCCTCCGCATATATGGGACCAATTTAAAAAAAGGGTTTATTGTATTCCTTCGAAAGTTGAAACAGATGCATATTCAAAAAAATATGGACCAAGAGTATATTTATGAAGCAGTGACGGAGTAGTTTTTTTTAATAGAAAGGGAATTTATACACGTTACTCGTAAAGTAAAATGGTATATTGCATTAGTTCAACCTTATATAACAAGTAGAATTAATCTTTTCCGACCCTATAAAGTAAATATACAGTGGCTCATAGCTTAATTGACCCACCTAATATTTGTATACATAAATGTGTATAACATTTGAACTAAAATCGATATTAACAATATTAAAATTCGGAGTGATGAATTGATGTTATAATGTTAGCAGGATGACTTACTTTGATGAAATTAATAAACGGCCTGTGTAAACAGCTCTTTTACTGCAACAAAAAGAATACCTCTGTAGCCAGAACGGTAGCCCGACAAACAGAACTCCTGTGCAGCCAGCACCGGTCCGCCAGCAAACTTGAGGAATGACCAATCACCAAAAAAAGATCACGTCAGCACCACGCGAGTTAATATAATATTTTTAATTTAGTGTCGAAAAATTTACATGAAAATAAAAGAAAGGGATAAATGTACGTTCACTGAGAGTGAACATAAAAAAGCAAACATACGTCTCTCCGCCTAACGGCAACCCAAAACAATTGATTTTTAAAACACAAAACATAAATTTTATTGTTAAAAACAAAAAGTTAAACTTGAATAACTACTAGGTGGGTGAAAAGTAACCTCCTTGGCCGCCAGAATGCGCTACTACTGCAAAGAAGGTTATGGTTTCTTACGGTGCGTTCATATTTAGGCAAGCATACCAAATTTCAGTGCGATACTGCCCTTAGTTTTGTTTTGACAGCTGATTGTTGTTGAAGTGTTTGGCATCATGTTGAATATGGACAAAAACGATTTTCGTTCTCTCATAAAACATTATTTTTTGAGAGGCAAAACGGCGAAGGAAACAAAAGAAAAATTGGACAAATACTATGGGGCAAATGCTCCGTCAGATTACACCGTGAAATATTGGTTTCGAGAGTTTCGTGGTAGCCGCAACTCCACTACCGATGAAGTCCGCAGCGGCAGGCCTTCCGATGCGGTTACAGAGGACAATGTCAAAAAAAATACATGAAATGGTATTGGCTGATCGCAAAGTGAAAGTGCGCGAGCTAGCAGATGCCACAAAGATCAGTACTGAGCGCACACGCCATATTTTGAGAGAGATTCTGCATATGAAAAAGTTATCCTGCCGCTGGGTGCCGCGCATGATCACTCCGGACCAAAAACTCGAACGCGAGAGCAGTTCGAAAGAGTGTTTGGACTTACTGATGCGGAATCCGGCGGACTGTTGGCGTCGATTGGTAACTGTTGATGAAACCTGGATCCACTATTACATATCAGAGAACACAATGAGTGCCCGGCAATGGACCAAAGCCGGCACGAGTGCTCCGAAGCTCGAAAAAGGAAAAACCATCAACAGCAAGTATTACTGTGCATTGTTGGTGCGATTGAAGGCCGAAACGGCTTCGGAAACGGAAAAGTTCTTCTACACCCTAATCTCCATAGCATAAGTACTCTGAACAGGGAGTTACAAGGTACGGTCGCCGCTCTTTCTCCTCTGCATACAACGAGGCAAGGCAACTTGTCATCAGTAAGGGAAACTGGCAAGCAACGTGTTTTTCCCTCTCCCTCCGCATATATGGGACCAATTTGTCATCAGCGAGGGAAACACTTAAAACAATTAGAGTTATTTATACACGTTACTCGTAAAGTAAAATGGTATATTGCATTAGTTCAACCTTATATAACAAGTAGAATTAATCTTTTCCGACCCTATAGAGTAAATATACAGTGGCTCATAGCTTAATTGACCCACCTAATATTTGTATACATAAATGTGTATAACATTTGAACTAAAATCGATATTAACAATATTAAAATTCGGAGTGATGAATTGATGTTATAATGTTAGCAGGATGACTTACTTTGATGAAATTAATAAACGGCCTGTGTAAACAGCTCTTTTACTGCAACAAAAAGAATACCTCTGTAGCCAGAACGGTAGCCCGACAAACAGAACTCCTGTGCAGCCAGCACCGGTCCGCCAGCAAACTTGAGGAATGACCAATCACCAAAAAAAAGATCACGTCAGCACCACGCGAGTTAATATAATATTTTTAATTTAGTGTCGAAAAATTTACATGAAAATAAAAGAAAGGGATAAATGTACGTTCACTGAGAGTGAACATAAAAAAGCAAACATACGTCTCTCCGCCTAACGGCAACCCAAAACAATTGATTTTTAAAACACAAAACATAAATTTTATTGTTAAAAACAAAAAGTTAAACTTGAATAACTACTAGGTGGGTGAAAAGTAACCTCCTTGACCGCCAGAATGCGCTACTACTGCAAAGAAGGTTATGGTTCCTTACGGTGCGTTCATATTTAGGCAAGCATACCAAATTTCAGTGCGATACTGCCCTTAGTTTTGTTTTGGCAGCTGATTGTTGTTGACGTGTTTGGCATCATGTTGAATATGGACAAAAACGATTTTCGTTCTCTCATAAAACATTATTTTTTGAGAGGCAAAACGGCGAAGGAAACAAAAGAAAAATTGGACAAATATTATGGGGCAAATGCTCCGTCAGATTACACCGTGAAATATTGGTTTCGAGAGTTTCGTGGTGGCCGCAACTCCACTACCGATGAAGTCCGCAGCGGCAGGCCTTCCGAAAAAAAAATACATGAAATGGTATTGGCTGATCGCAAAGTGAAAGTGCGCGAGCTAGCAGATGCCACAAAGATCAGTACTGAGCGCACACGCCATATTTTGAGAGAGATTCTGCATATGAAAAAGTTATCCTGCCGCTGGGTGCCGCGCATGATCACTCCGGACCAAAAACTCGAACGCGAGAGCAGTTCGAAAGAGTGTTTGGACTTACTGATGCGGAATCCGGCGGACTGTTGGCGTCGATTGGTAACTGTTGATGAAACCTGGATCCACTATTACATATCAGAGAACACAATGAGTGCCCGGCAATGGACCAAAGCCGGCACGAGTGCTCCAAGCTCGAAAAAGGAAAAACCATCAACAGCAAGTATTACTGTGCATTGTTGGTGCGATTGAAGGCCGAAACGGCTTCGGAAACGGAAAAGTTCTTCTACACCCTAATCTCCATAGCATAAGTACTCTGAACAGGGAGTTACAAGGTACGGTCGCCGCTCTTTCTCCTCTGCATACAACGAGGCAAGGCAACTTGTCATCAGTAAGGGAAACTGGCAAGCAACGTGTTTTTCCCTCTCCCTCCGCATATATGGGACCAATTTGTCATCAGCGAGGGAAACACTTAAAACAATTAGCGTTATTCGTAAAGTAAAAGGGTTTATTGTATTCCTTCGAAAGTATGAAACAGATGCATATTCACAAAAATATGGGATCCCAAGTGTAACGCCATTGATGTTATGAAGCAGTGACGAGTAGATTTTTTTTTAATAGAAAGGCGAATTTATACACGTTACTCGTAAAGTAAAATGGTATATTGCATTAGTTCAACCTTATATAACAAGTAGAATTAATCTTTTCCGACCCTATAAAGTAAATATACAGTGGCTCATAGCTTAATTGACCCACCTAATATTTGTATACATAAATGTGTATAACATTTGAACTAAAATCGATATTAACAATATTAAAATTCGGAGTGATGAATTGATGTTATAATGTTAGCAGGATGACTTACTTTGATGAAATTAATAAACGGCCTGTGTAAACAGCTCTTTTACTGCAACAAAAAGAATACCTCTGTAGCCAGAACGGTAGCCCGACAAACAGAACTCCTGTGCAGCCAGCACCGGTCCGCCAGCAAACTTGAGGAATGACCAATCACCAAAAAAAGATCACGTCAGCACCACGCGAGTTAATATAATATTTTTAATTTAGTGTCGAAAAATTTACATGAAAATAAAAGAAAGGGATAAATGTACGTTCACTGAGAGTGAACATAAAAAA